GTGTGTTTGTGGTTAGGACGTCTCAGGACTTTGTCTATGTATCACACAACGTAAGATGAACGACTACGAACTGACCCCCAGGGTGTTAGGACCTATCATCCGGGAAACTGTTTGTAATATATATATTTATTGGACCTACCCACGGGACAAATGTTGATAACTTTCATGAAAATAAACACGAATTCATCACTTTAGTTATTTTTTTTTATCTGTTAATGATAATATTCCCGTCACGACGCTAAGGGCTAATATAAAAGGTACAACATAAACGATGTTCAGTAGCGTGAAAGATAGATGAGTGTATCTGACACCTTGTATAGATACATTTACCTACACATGTAGAGTACTGCAACAATACCTATACCTACATACGGACAGTACAGCAACAATACCTATACCTACATATACAGTACAGTAACAATACCTATACCTAAATACAGACAGTACAGTAACAATGCTTGTACCTACATACGGACAGTATATATACCTACATACGGACAGTACAGTAACAATGCTTGTACATACATACTGACAGTACAGTAACAATGCTTGTACATACATACTGACAGTACAGTAACAATGCTTGTACATACATACTGACAGTACAGTAACAATGCTTGTACATACATACTGACAGTACAGTAACAATGCTTGTACATACATACTGACAGTACAGTAACAATGTTTGTACCTACATACCGACAGTACAGTAACAATGCTTGTACCTACATACGGACAGTATATATACCTACATACGGACAGTACAGTAACAATGCTTGTACCTACATACGGACAGTACAGTAACAATGCTTGTACCTACATACGGACAGTACAGTAACAATATTTGTACCTACATACGGACAGTACAGTAGCAATGCTTGTACCTATATACGGACAGTACAGTAACAATTCTTGTACCTACATACGGACAGTACAGTAACAATGCTTGTACCTACATACGGACAGTACAGTAACAATGCTTGTACATACATACAGACAGTACAGTAACAATGTTTGTACCTACAAACGGACAGTACAGTAACAATGCTTGTACCTACCTACCGACAGTACAGCACTAATGCTTGTACCTACAAACGGACAGTACAGTAGCAATGCTTGTACCTACATACGGACAGTATATATGCCTACATATGGACAGTATAGTAACAATGCTTGTACATACATACGGACAGTACAGTAACAATGCTTGTACCTACATACGGACAGTATATATACACCTACATACGGACAGTATAGTAACAATGCTTGTACATACATACTGACAGTATAGTAACAATGTTTGTACCTACATACGGACAGTACAGTAACAATGCTTGTACATACATACGGACAGTACAGTAACAATGCTTGTACCTACATACGGACAGTATATATACCTACATACGGACAGTACAGTAACAATGCTTGAACCTACATACGGACAGTATAGTAACAATTCTTGTACCTACATACGGACAGTACAGTAACAATGCTTGTACCTACATACGGACAGTACAGTAACAATGCTTGTACCTACATATGGACAGTATAGTAACAATTCTTGTACCTACATTCATACAGTACAGTAACGATACATATACCTACATACCTATAGTACATATACCAACCTACATACGTATGTGAACCTATGAGGAATGATCGGTGTTCTATTTTTTGCAAGGAAGTTGAGAATTAGTCTAATTGAATTTCTGTTTATTGTCAAGTTAGCATTCAAACCAATTCGTATAAATTCATCACGAAGAGGAAAAGAGTTAAATAGTTTTTGTAACAAGTTAGTGGCCAAGCTATGTAGTCACAAATACCACGGTAGTGTCGGACAACACATCGAATCTGTTTACTTTAAGGACACTTGAACGTCAGTAACAATAACAGACCAGTGTAGCTTCTACTGTAACTGTACCCAACACAGGCTACTAACAGGATTCTACCACCCTAATCATTCTGACTCTTATTCCAGCTAATACTCTACTTCCGCTAACTGTTTACAACGCCGCACATGACTCCAGTACTCCATTACTAACAGGTAGCCTTGTCTACTCCATATATACATGTCTCACCTACTTTCCTTCGCATACCATATACAGATCTAGGTCTGAACTTTCTCCCCGACACAGCTCCATATGGCTGTCAATTGCCTATACCTGCATTTCTCTTAATTTTCTCCCACGACATACCTCCAAAAGGCTGTCCAATGCATGCACATAACAGTTATAATATCTCACCTTTCTCCCCGACGTATCCCCGTAATGTTTCCAACTCCATACATCTATGTGTCTCACCTGCATCCCAAGGTACATGCACACACTTGTTAACCCCATACATCTATGTGTCTCACTTGCATCCCAAGGAACACGCACACCCTTGTCAACCCCCATACATCTATGTGTCTCGACTGCAACCCCAGGTACATGCACAGCCTTGTCAACTCCATACATCTATGTGTCTCGACTGCAACCCCAGGTACATGCACAGCCTTGTCAACTCCATACATCTATGTGTCTCGACTGCAATCCCAGGTACATGCACAGCCTTGTCAACTCCATACATCTATGCGGCACACCTGCACCCCAAGGTACCTGAACATTCCTGCCAAACACTTAACCCCCTCTTCCTGACATTTACACCCACATCCTTGATAATTCCATACACTTATGTCTTACTTACGTCCTCCTAAATATTCCAAGTGCATCTTACTCTATCTTCCAGATCATTCTGTATTATCTTTCTCTCTTGACATCCCTACCATATCCCTATCATTACTACCCCCTCCCCCTCCCTTCTATACAACATATCCCTGGCTACTCAATACTCTGTTACTCACATTCTCACTCAACAATACTCACCCCCTAATCCCCTGTGAGGATCATTACAGTGACTAAGAGATTAATAGTACTTGCACGTCGACAACAGAAAATGATATATCTTTATGATAAATCAGGCGGTTGTATCAAAATAGGAAGTACCCTAAGATCGGATTTATTCTTTCTTACGAGCGTCTCAATCATTTTTAATAACGATTTCGTGACATTCTTTAATCTTCATTTATACGTTTGCTATCACACTGACCTTTCTAGATAAAAAAATAAAATGGTAAAAATCGAAAAGAACTTTATTGTTAGTCATTAAGTGTATAGACATTTTCTGGAGACGAATGTCATTTGCCACGAAGTCTACATATACCAATACTTCCATACCTAATCAAATATAAGAAAGCCTTATGATCTAACTTTCTTTTATGTCAGAACTTCTCAGAAACATTAAAGTGCGTTTTAATGAAACAAATATTGAACCTTTGAGAAACAGAGGTAATCGTGAAGTTAATTTTCACGGATACATATCTTTTACCATTTGGTGTGATTAATTCAATTGTAGCTACACGTTCGTAGTGGGATATTGAAATGTTATCACAAATATACATATCACGGGAGTCTGGCCCATGTATACTATTGTCGTATCTAAACATAGTCTCTTTTAGTTTCTGGTCCATGTGTTGTTTAACCGTAAAAGTTGCGAGGTTTTACAATAAACTTGGTATTTTTTTCATTATTTCATCCATATTTTTTTAATTAGATACGGAAGGTTAAACAATAGGCTCTTTTTGGTCCGGAGATTACCATACATTTTGTATCAGCAACATAGAGTATAGAATAATACCTTGTCAATTCTCAATATTGTTGTCATCTCTATTCCACCGGCACCATTCCTACTTTAACTCCAGCGTAACGATGTTTTCGGACTGAAGGTCTTAAAAATATTCCACACAAAATGTACATGTGCTCTAGTTAAAAGAGATATCCAAAATCATGACATTCGGCCACGTGTACAATATAAAAGGTCTAAATATCCGTATATGGGTATTCAAGATTTTCAAAGACTTCTTAAAGAGACGACCTGTGCGAGAACTGAAAAAAAACTTTTCTGTACATCACTATAGAATCTCTCGTGGTATTCTTTTTTTCCTTCAGTTTGTAACAATTGATATTTTTGATTTTTGATTTTAGAATTAATAAGTGCTCACTCAATCGTTTCCATCTTCAATTAGCATTGTCGTCATTTGACACTGAACTTAGATGTAAATCCGGCAAGAGTTGTTTGTCTCGTCCTCACCTTGACTAGATAATCTTCGTTTTCTATATCCCCGTTTCCTCGCTTTACCCATTGTTGCGACTGTGTCTGGTCAGTTGTTACAATTAAGATGTAGTATTTAGGTCAGATAGAATTATTGACTTCAGTGACCATGTTGCCTTAAAAACGGGTCATGTTATATTCGAAGAAATCAACGTTAATTTTTATATTTTATCTTTACATAAATGTGATAAGATTACATATCTTCATCAATTCTTATGGCATCAAACTTTCCCAGCAAGACTCCTACCCGAACAAAAACACCTTATACAAAATAATATTTTAAAATTATAATGTTTTTAAATTATCTGGTAAAGTCAAGCTGTATGACTTTTATCCAAAATATGGATTATGTATATAAAAGACCTTTAGAATTTTACGTTTCAGTAAGTTTCTTCAGATTGTAAACATTAATCACATACCCCGTCAGCAACATGTCAGCATGGCTTTGTGGTAGCTTTCATTTTCTCACGTAGAATAATTAAACAGACGTGAAATTCGATCTAACGTCTGACTATCTTTTTCTAAGATCACTGTAAACGTCTATGTTTCTAGCCAGCACAATTATACCACACAAATACATAATACCGAAAACACGAGACAGTCAACCGCTATAGAAAATCTTCAGAAATGTAAACAATTTAGAAAAAAAGAGTCATACACCAGCAATGTTTAGAAAGGACGTGTGGGATTTAACAGTTCGCCTGAGTAAGGAAACCTAACATACATATTAACAAGTTCTCAAGCCTCAATCAGTGTGTAATACAATTTGTTAATATGATATATATACTAAATGTATGGAACGATCATTCAGTACACAGTGTTTGTTACATACATGTGGTGAGTTTACTTACCCTAGAAAAGTTCTGAAAGCATCCAAACTAGTTCCTCGTCGTTTTATTCGCTTCCTTAGTGTTTTTAAATAATCGTAGTAAGGCATGCTTTCTATTTTTGTAAAATCGTATTTACGTCTGTCAAAACTTTCTAGTTTTTGTAGTAGCATATCCACTTCTGAATCCGTTTCATTGATTCTCATCGAAAGAGGTGAAACAACCCACTTTTCGACTCCGTCTTTACGAGGTCGTCGATCATCTGATGATGGTAGGGCATTTTTCTCTACCCCCTGGACTTTATCGCCCCCTCCCTCGGGGCTGAAGTCATCACTAGTGTAATTACTCTTATTTAGCCGCTTTCGAATTGCAGAAATATGTGAAGCGTCATAATGTTGACCGGTGTTAGACAACGAATTCTTTATAAACACAGGTAGTTTGTCAGGATTCACTTTGTGAACAGTTTCAACAAATATATAAAGTAGTGTTAATGTAGTGAGTCCTATACCGGAGATAACGGCTCTCTGTCTTAACTTCATGCTGAGAGCGGTGACAGTGATCTCCCCAGCTCCATACTTCTAGTAATGTCTCGCGCACATGTGACTTTGACCGTACCTGCTGAATGGCTCAACATCCAACCTATGTATATCCTCATGATATACATATATATATATACGTGTTTGTAAACGTCGCCTCCGCACAGGTGTATACACCTATATACCAATGTAAGGACTCGTGGTTAAGGTGTGTTTACCTACATTTACTTAAACTACCAACTAAATGCCGTTGACCGTTGATGAAGGATGTAATCAATTTTTCACGGATCAATTATTTTAAACCACTTAATCCTGCTTCAGTATCAGGCAAATTGACACATAATTGCCATCACACTAAATTCCACACGTGTCCATGTTGAAGGTGAGCGCTCGAAATACACCAGGGTCGGTAGCCAGACAAGACAGCAATGACACAAAATCACACTGTAGTTTTTTGACTGGTTTCTCTTCACACATAATAATCCATACCGTCCTGTGTTCGGTTCGGTAACACACAAAAACAGGTTTCCGCCGTGGATCGGCTAGTATCAACAGCGCCGCAATCAAAGACCTGGCTATGGGTTGTTTATTGATCAAATTTACTTTAAGGTAGAGCACTTAAACTATTCGTTTCTTTCATGCTTGGCTGACTAACCTAGGATGATAGGGGTATAGTTAATACACATAAAACGTGCATAGGCAAATTATAGACAGTGGAGATGGTTCGTGTATTTTCCTTTACGTTTTACTCACATATTAACTAACCCTGCCATAATTACGTAGCAGCTATGATAACACATACTTTATATAGATATAAAACAACGGAAATTCTAAGGAAAAAAATCCGTTATTAGTCACAACCTCATCAACACTTGGCCTGCGGCATTATTATGCAGATGAGCGCACGAAGCACATCAAAAACTACACACATTTCCCGAATTCGATTCATTTGTAACGGCACTGAAATGCCGCGCGAATAATATCGACATGAAAAGCATTGCGTATTCCCGCATTCACTATGAACCCCTTCAGCATCTGTTGCAAACTCACTGTTTTGGCGCGGGATGGGTTGGTTGTTCTTACAAGGACACAAGTGTTAGCCCGTCTGTATTGCCCATTTTATGTGCAAGCATTAAATTTTTCAAGAGGAACGACTGCTGTGAGCGTAATTATACTTCCCTATTTAACGGCGTATGTTTCCTCGTGAACAGAAAGTCACATACATTTAAAAAACAAATCTTAGTTACACCATCTTCTGAAATTAACTGTAGTTTAAATATAACGTGGTCCGAAGTGTTGAGTAGCGAATCTTGTAAATGGTCGTTATGTCTAGGTAATTTTATTACTGGGACGACTATGCTTGTAGATAAGGCGTGTACAAGATGCTCAAAGACATGCCAGCTAAAAAATCAAATCACAGCAAGAGGATTTCCCATCTTGTGTTGACGGCTTGTTAACTACGGGCGAGTCTTCATGTCAGGACCAAATTACTTTCATGAATTCACATATTGCGTCAATTTCCCACAATTTTAGAACTAGGATATTGCTACGATTACAGTGAAGTGCAGATGGAATTTTATTAGTGCCTGTGAGAAATTAGCCTCTTCCTTCACATGAAAACTTAATTCAAGTGCACTTATTTACCATTACGGATTGTAAAGAAATGTTCGGTCTAAAAGCTTCAAATTCAAATCGTTTTACAAACAACAACCCTTTTCACTTCACACGTCATCGCGATGTTTAGAAATTTGAAAAAAATAATTTCTACAGAAGTTCCCATGAATGATGCCTGACATGACGTCACAGCTTTGACATGACGTCACAATCTTTCACAAGAACAACTATGAGTTATTTATTGTCATTTTATTAGAAATCGGATCAAATCGTAAATCTATTATCTACTCTAGTCATTTGCTGAAAATGTAAGGCATATTCAAGATAGGCTTCTTCATTGACCTCAGACAAATGGTCATGGACTCGCGTTATGGTAATCTTAATATGAATAAATATAAATGAAGTGAATTCAAATATATGGTAATAAATAGTTCAAAACTCATTCAGGGTAAGATTAAGTTTTCAATAAATACAGCGCCCGAGTTTACTTCAATGATAACCATATGACCCAGATGTTCATGAAATAGGCCAACGTTAATATCAGAAGTCACGTGGTAACGATATTCATTAATGCTAAACTGATGAATTGGATGTAATTGATTTGCACTTAACAAAACAAACACATTCTAATTATAGGAGTAAGACTATCGACCATACTTTGCCGATATTATCTGGTATTCAGCTAGTATGTCAGACTGGAATTCGTTCCACCTGGTCACCGTGATGAATATACATATCTATCTATATTGTTAAACAGAGCAGAATAACACTGTAGTCAGTCTATTTCACATTTCTTTTCTTGACTGTCTCACAGAAGGAAGACACTATATTTTTATCGAATCAGACTAACACAAACCTTACATCGACATACGCTGGACTCCAATCAATTCACACCGGGCTCTATCGAAGATTCACCAACTCAAAAAAAATTAAAAATCATTCTTACATTTGGTACTTCTTGAATCCGTCCGAAATCATTTTACCGGTAAGATTCGTTAAATATCACACATGAAAATTATTATTATCCGATATACAAGTTATAAGTAACCAGGTATTACCAATAAAATAGCTTTTAAGACAGATGCAATATAATTTTGCAGAACATTTACGGCCAGCATTCGCGCTGGTAATCCTACTGCCGGCTTTCCACTGTCGGTATAAATAAACCAGTTGATGAATATTTTGTATCCTCCCTTGCCACATCAGTATGCTATATTGTTGATCACTTTATGTCTCTATAATACAGATGAAGAGTGTTGTAGTTATTGACGTCCTGTTAAACACGATGTCCTATGTTTGTTTCCAACACAGTCTGTAACCCAGACTAGAAAGAAAACAATTTGTTGAGAGTGTGTATCAATCTGGCAGCACTGTCTTTTGACTTCTTAAATGACTAGCCCCAAAACACATCAGCCACCATTAATGATGTTTTCGCAACCAAACATTCCGTTGTGTAGTGTCTATGTGAATTCTACCATTCTGTCAATACGTAGTGTAGGAATGACCAATTATCTATCATCCTACGCTTGTTCACTGCCACTCTGTTACTTAGTAAACCAATAAACCAATTTACCCTAAAAACCAAAGTTAATGGGGCATTTCTAAAAAAAAAAAAAAAAAAGAAACAGTAAGCCTTCGTTTTAGCACCTACAAAATTGTTATTCCGACGCGACTGCAAAAGTCAACTGTTCGATGTAACATCACACAGACTAATAAGCCAAAACCAGGTCCGTAACCAATACAAAGGAGTAAATCAATCAACTGATAACATAAATCTCATCATAACATAAATCTACAGAATAAAAATAACCCAGATATCATGGTAAACCTTAAGGAGAATTGCTGTAATGCAAAACATGTCATTCATAAATCACGGGGCTAGTGCACCTTCGCATCGAGGTTTTGACATTCCACCGATCACTTTGGATTTTCCTCAGTCGCCTTCTAGGTTTCAGAATTTAGGCCCTTACCATCACCGAGTCCTAGAAGATGGAAAGAGTTATATGATGCACTTACATTCCTTATTAGGCTCTATGATATTTAATTCTAAATTTAAGTAAAAAAAGGTCTATATCATTAATATCTTTTGTACAACATCAGAGGAAAATCAGGAATGACTATTGGCGCCAATGATATGTTCATGGATATTCCAGAACACCCCCCCCCCCCAAAAAAAAGAACAGAAAATCACATATCAAAGTGATATGTCTTTTTATCTAATATACATATCGAAGTGATGTGTCTTTTTCCTAATATGAAGATTCAGACAGCAGAGGACACAGACAGAGTTTCTCTTTCGTGAGAGCAATGCTCTATAGCGTCACAGGCAGGAATGGCTGTCTCTAGCAATGACAATGACAATTGTTCTATTATCATACAATTGAAGTGTAGAGAATATATATATAAACCGATTGTTGACAATAATACATGATTGGACAGAAAGGTCTTTAGTTAATTTAATATCTTATTTATGTCAGAAATGGATTAAGCCAATGACACCAATTCGCATTGTGTTACATAATTGAATAATGCATGACACTTGAATGCATTTAGCCTTTCATAACAACAGTATAATGTTTTCTGTTATTAAACACTGACTTTTGAGTTCAATTACAGAATAAAATTCGTTGCTAATTTCTCCTTAATAACACATAACAGATCATTTATTTTTTCGTGTTATAGTGGACCAAATATCAAATTCAATTAGTAACTTATTATTGCATATTCTAAATTTTCAATAAGATCTAGTTTTAGAGGAGGTGGGGGGAGGTAAAGTTAGTACCTTTCTAACCAAAGTCTATTTTCATACTTTCTGTAATTATAGTGTAACAGTGGTTCTATTGTTGTTTAACTTGTTTTGGAACGTGACGTTACTTACTTAGATTGATGAAGATTTACATGACTCCTATCTTTTGTCTTGTCCTCGTTTCATAGAATTTGAGTTTGAATTAAAATTATGTTGACGTGTCGGTATTTTTGTTGCTCTTTTGTTAACAAGCATGGTGACTATGACATTAGGAGAAGGACTGTAGATCTGATGTCTTCCTATCCCACCCAACAAATCCTAATCTATGTTTTATAAGTTTAAAGTTTATATTAACAAAATATATATCTTTACCTTATATGTACAGTATAGTACATATCTGCGATCACGGATAACAGAAATATACAGATAATACGCCGTTTAAACATAACTGAAACATAAAATGGACTGAACCACGGCAAATAAAACAAGAGATTTTTTTTAATCTAAGCTCCTGTTAAAAGCTAAAAAAAAGCAATATGAAAAAACCAACATGTCAGCATAATCATTGTCAAAACTCAAATTCAATAAAAAGAAAGATAAACACGGAAACTCCTTACAGCATACAAGGAGAATAGGACGAGGT